TGCAAACTAACGTTATTAGAAAAGTCCAAGATACAACATACAGGGTAGAACAGGTTTATCAAACATCAGTTTCAAACTGCAGAGTTGTTGGATGCTAGCACACCCTTTATTGAAACTCAAATTAGGTCTACTAAACTTTACCAGTAATTTGAATGCAACAATCTGAAAATGTTTGGCTGGTACTGTCATGCAAAAAAAATTAAAATACATAATTCTCCCAAAACACAAAACTCAAGCAAAAATCTTTGCAAAATACCTTTAAGACTTCACATACATATCCTTTAGTGAATGGCTTACACATGTCTGTGAATTAAAAAGAAAAAAAGCAACAAGAACAGCAGCACAGTTTACGAGCAAAGGATTTTACTGCACTTTGTAAAGGGTATCCTTTTCCATCACTGCTTCTCTCATCCTAATATGTTTCATATGAATGCAACAACTGGGAACTAACTCAAAGAAGTATTAAACAGGAAGTTTTATTGACATTTATTTTGACACAGGCAGAAGATTAAGACATGCAATAAAATACCACTCTACTTGTGAACCTAAGTTTTGTTTTTATTTGGAACCACACAAATCTTACCACAGTTATTTTTTATTCCTCTAATTTTGACTTCTTTTTTTTTAACATAGCTCTAACCTAAATATACTAGGCTACTGGGGAAACCATACATAGTAAAACAGCTACCATAAGTCTGTTCTGCATGGAAAGTTAGTCTATATCCAGCTTACCGTTGATAGATATATGCAACAGCAGTTAAATGTATGCATAACGTTCTTGTCAGGAACATAAGTCAGCTTTCCAAACTGTTATCAAAGTAGTTTTCCCAAACAAAACTTCTAAGGGCAAATGTGACAGAAGTTTCAACACTTCTTACTTAAACTAGAAATTAAATTTAAAACACCAGAGCAGAGATCCTTCTGCATGGCAAATAAAAGCATGCTCGGAAACACACTTTAACTGTATCATGTTAGAAGAACATATAGAGAAAATTCTGGAGCTGGATATGGAGGAACTTCCACAGCAACTCTCTGGCTTTGTGGTTCCTGAACTACTTCAGCAGATGAGGATAACCAATTACATGTGCACTTGTAGCACTGGTTCCATGACTTATTGAAGTCTCACACACGGATAATTGTCATATATTGCTGACTTATTATTATTTGAGTGACGATGGTGAAGTTCAGAAATTTATCTGGTTGAATCCTTGCTCTTTGTTTGTATAGAGTGATTATCTGCTGCAAGGATTCACTAACATGGGATGGAGTTAAAAAGCACTCCTTCAAATTTTTCTGAAATAATGGGAACAAAAAGGAAGGACCAACATTGGTCTCTCAAAATTAGGAAAAATGGGTGTTATGGGTACATCTTAAACACAAATCTGACACACATCTTCTTTCTCTGACTGAAAATATTGTGTGGTTGACATTTACAAGAACTCCTTACTTGTCTGGGATTTCCAGATGTATGGCAGCATGATCAGTGCCACTGTGCAGTGGCTACAACCAGACTGCCAATGCACTAAGATGAGCTGAGATATGCCCACCGATCAGTATATGCACAGAAGTTGGTGACTTTTGGAAAGCACTGGACAGGCTGCACATACATGACAGTCTGTGCATACCTTGGCTGCCTAGGCATCTCCAGACTGGCAATTATTCCCTGCTTTCTGAACTTGAAGGAGGGTGATTCTTCTCCTGCACTTCTTGTGGCTTCAGTTCATCATACACATATTTTTGCCAACCAACTTTACAGCTTAGAATTGATAGAATAACAGAAGTAGAAAGTGCCTCCTTTAGATTAACTTCCTGTTCAAAGCAGAGCTAACTTCAAGTAAGAGCAGGTTACTTGTGGCTCTGTCCAGCCACATTTTGAAAATTTCCAGCAGTGGAGACCGCAGTGTCTCTCTGAGTCCTGTTCTAGTGCTCAGCTACTCTCATTGCACTGAAACAACTTCTATCCAACTGGAATTTTCCTTGTTGCAACTCGTTACTATTGTCTCTTAATCTTTCACAAGACAAAAATCAAGGAGAGTCTGGCTTCCTCTTCTCTACAACCTCTCTTTGAGGTGGTAGAAGACTACAGTTAGATCCCACCTCCTTCTCTAGATTTCTTCTCCTTGCTTGGCAGACGCTGCAGCCCTCAAAGACTAAAGTTCTCCTCCACTGGACTCTCTCCATTTTGTCAAACATCTCTTTAACAATCAGGACCCACAGCTGCTCACAGTACTTCAGATGCAGTCTCACAGGTGTTGAATAGAGGGGTATAATCACTTTCCTCAACCTCCAAGCTACTCCCATGCTAATGCAGTTTTTGTTGCTGCCAGGGCATGCTTCTGACTCACATTCAGCTCGTCCTCCACCAGGACCCCCAGGTCCTTATCTACAGACCTACTTTCTAGCCAGACAGTCCCCAGCCTGTGCTCTTGAGGGGGAGGTGTTACTGCATCCCAGATGCAGGACTTTGCATTTGCCTTTGCTAACTGTCCAGAAATTCACATCAGTCGATTTCTGCAGCTTGTGATGGTCCCTCTGAACAGCTGCCCTGGCTGCCAGCAAGTTACATGCTTCTCACCATCCAGGAATGAGGTGGCTGAGGATGTGCTATGTGACTTTCTCAGGTTGTTGGTTTGGACCCCCACAAATTATCTGGGTAGGGCAGGATATTCCCAGCCTATGATATGTGCACTACTAGTGGTATAAAAGCAACTTTTGAAAAGGCAACAGCATCATAGAAGTATAAATCCTAGCACAAAGCTAGCATGTGCTAGTGTCATGCTCGGGGATGAAAAACACTTTGGGAAGCCTTAATCTATCAATTCTAACAGGGTAGTACATGAAAAGCTGTGTCAGACATTAAAACATCAACTATTTATGCTCTACAGTGAACATGTAAGAGCATACCTAAAAAGTATCCTAGAGACAAGATACACTCTGTTGACCATTTTTTACTCATAATGGCAATTAATAGATGTGGATCTTCTAGTCACAATCACTTAACTCATGGAAAGATGAGCTTCTTTAGGTCCAGTGTAACAGTTTAAAAAATTAACCACCTACAACCATTTTCCTACATACTTGCAGATTAAGTCCTTCACAGCTGAGTTGTGATAACACAATCCTATGTGAGCTCTTCATCAGTCTCCATGCAAGTCAGCTGGAAGTGTCACCAAGGGAGCTTCACAAGCCCCTGCTATGCAGTGGAAGCAAGAGGTGTAATAAACAGCTGAGAACCACAGCATCCTAAATTTATCGTGCCCATTCTCTGGGATGTACTTTTGTTTGACTTATATAAAGGCAGATGGGGAAAAGAGAAGGAAAGGTCTAACAATTAGCTTGTTTGAAACCAAATTCCTTCAGCCAGTGAGGCAAATTCCTGGAAAAATTTACATGGAGATTCATAAGCACATGCCCACTGCTAAGAATACCTTCTCACCTCTCAGTTTGGAGGTTGTTGGACTCAAGGGAGTCTAACAAAGGACCATTGAAGAGGAAGCTGCTGCACGGGAAGTGTCCTCCTGCACTAAAAAGGTTCAGTTACTGCAGCGTGTCATCATTTGGTAACTCAATGCTTACAGAGTGAAGCTGGGGAAAGCATGAATGGATGGAATACAGGAAGAAAACTTCTTTTGTGAAACTCAGTCTCTGCTATGGCTTTCTGGAACCTGAAAGTCTCTTCTGAGTTTTGTGACTTGATGGCCCAGATGCCCCAAAGCTGCTGGTTAGCAAGAGCAAGGACCTTCAGAATCATATTACTAATCCATGCTCTCATAAGTGGCACTGGTTCATTTTCTCTGATAAGTATTTGAACTATTTTTTATTTCTTTTATGATTGATAAAAAGGTAAGTAAGAGGGAAATTGGATCAGCATTCAATGAGAGTCTAGAACAATTAGAAGGAACTTCAGACAATCAAGTTAAAAGGTCAAGCTGGTGAATGTAGCTCTTCAGTTTCCAAGCTACAAGACATCAGTATTGATGTACTGACTTGGCCATTCTAAAATGACCAGTGTGAAGGCACTATCTAAAAACCTAGCGATTTTAAAATAGTGCTAAAATTAGAGCTAGCTGGGAATTTCTGGATGAAAAAAATTTCATCACACAATATTCCTGTGGATTGGTTGAAAAGAAGACACTAAATATGGATATATTCTCTTAACACTTCTATTGTATACACAGATATTCCATGAACAAGAAATGGAGAAGACAGAGTAGATCCTATCTGTACACACATTTCTGAAGTCTCATTTCCACAACTAATTGCTTATTTGACAAGACTCAAGCCAGTCTAGAGGGTTTTTTTGAGTAAGCTTTTCTTGAATTTTCAAGTGATACCAGAACTTGGACAAAAAGGAGTCCAGAAAATCGGTAGTATGGCACTATAACATCATTAGCTGGTCCAGATCCAAAGACAGAGATTTCAGCCTCTCATATCCTAAGCAAATACATAGTTGGCAAATAGATGGCTGTCTTCTTTCTTGGGGAATGACACAAGGGCCTCTCTTTCCCATAGTCTTTTTTTTATATATAAATTCAAATCTATCCTGTAATGTACACTCTGACAGTTTTCTTTTCAAATGAGAACTGTTGTTAGGCCACAGAGAGTCTACCTGCACATTTGCCTCATCTTGTCTTCCTTGAACAAACAGATCCCAATTGGCCTAATTATCCTCTTCAGCAAACGTAATTATTATTTTGCAATGTCCATTCTTTTTTGCAAAATTAGCCTTTTTTGTTTCTTCCTCTTTTTCTTCAGGTTACTGCAACTCAAACTGATCCTAGCTCCTTATGTGTTTTTCTTTTTACTGTAGTGACAGGAAAATCTGTCCCTATTTTTATGATACAGTCCAAACATTTGTATTGGACTAAAAAAAAAACCCAAAACAATTTTATTATTTTTTTTTTAATGTAAACAAATAGAGTTTAGGAACTGCTAGTCTGGGCCTTCTACAGTTCAGCTGAACACATCTAAATTGTATATACATGTTTCGAATTTCTCAGGCTTTCTTCCTTACTATCCAAACCAGATCGACTCTATGAACTGGGTCATTCTCCAAAATCTGGCAAGTATGAGGCAGAAGATGGAGAGATGTGCCAACCAATGGTATGTACATGTACCAACTATTTCCATGTGGGTTCTGAGAACGGACACTTTGGTGAGAAACTATTTCTCACCGTTAATCAAACCGGAATGTTTCATTCCTTCAGGAACGAACACAGCCTGTTCCAAATAGCCACCTCCTGTTATTCTGCAATGGCCACTGAGGTTTCTTAGAAATCTGAAGGACTGAGTCAACAGAAAACAGTACCTGCTGGGATAATTTTTCTCTCCCCAGTTTTTCCCACCTCTTCCATGTCGCATGTGGTGTTGTGACAGCTGAGCAGATGTCAGCTCTAAGTGTGCTATTCACAATGTTGCGTTTGGCTTCCACGGGAGTTTCAGGCAAGCCCTGCCCTTACTGACAGCCCGCAGCGCTTGGCAGCGCTTGGCTCTCCGACAGACAAGCCTTAGCGGGTTTTCCGTAGCGATGTAGGACGTTACCACCCCACAGGTTACACTCCTGGTTGCAGGAGGAGGGGTAGAGCGCTCTGGCCGCAGCCCCTGTAGGATTCAAGGCAGTACCAGCAACTGAACGTGTCACCAGCGCTGTGGTCATCTTGCCCAACATGCCAGGCTGCCAACCGGAGGAGCAGCTACACCTGCGCTCGCAGCTACACCCGCGCTCGCAGCTACACCTGAGCTGGCAGCTACACCTGAGCTGGCAGCTACACCTGCACTGGCAGCTACACCTGCACTGGCTGCTACACCTGAGCTGGCTGCTACACCTGAGCTGGCTGCTACACCTG